TTGTGGGGGTTATTCACTCATTTACTGTCACGCAGACCAAGGGGCCGCGCATTTCCAGGGACAGAGGCTTCCTCACGCCCTGCCTAGACATCCCTCCCCAGAAGGGAGGCCTGTTTGGACATGTCATTTCATCTGCTGCTTTTCCCAGCATTTTTGAGAATCTCTGTGTTGCTGCATCAGTCGACCTATTTAATTTTAGGTAAGGAAATGGAGGCTCAAGAGTTAAATAACTCCCCTCCCCCGAGTCACACAGCTGATTCAAACTCAGGATCTCGTAACATGTCCTGACGCTGTCCAGTCTCCAGGGAGGTCACGGCCAGCGCCGTGACTCTGTGCAGAGCTCTGGTTCTGAAAAGTGCTCGCCAGGGTTCCCGCGTCCCGGGGAAGCCGGCTCCTGGCTGGACGGCGGCCTGACACTCTGCCGCAGGCGCACTGAGGGAGCCACGTGCAGAAGGTAAGACCTTATGCGGAAAGGAGCGCTGTGGCACGTGTGCACGATGACCGCACTCCGTGTCCACACTACTCTGCGCGCTTCACACAAGCACACACGTAAGTGGTGCAGTGCCCCTGGGGGAAAGGTGCTGTTATCCCCTTTTTACAAATAAGTTGAAGCACACGTTAGGTACCGTGCAAGGTCACGTTACAAAGCCAGGGTTCCATCTCAGGTCCTACCTCTGCTGTCAGCGATGCCACCCTGCTTCTGGAGGGCATTGGTAAGGAAAAATCAATCCCCATGTGTGTGTGCAGAGAGATATATATGTAAAATCTGCATCTCACCACTGGGTGGAACACAGAAGACAAGTGAGCCGGGAACAGGGCTGCCGGAGGGAGGCCGGTGTTGATGGTGTGGAAGAGGGTGAAGGAACAGACCAGAAAGTTCCCAAAGAGCAGGCTTTTAAAGAGCTCCCTGGAGTGTCCCTGCACAGGCATGCTCCGTGTGTGTGCTGAGCCCCCAGACACAGCGTGACAGGTGGGAGACAGACTGTGACCAGAGTGGGAACAAGGAAGCTGGTGGAACAGGAGCAGCAGGAAGCCACATCCGCTTAGACTGAAGTTGGAGTCACAGAACCTGATGTAGTTATTTGGAACTCCGGAGTCTGTCTGAACGCTTGTAACTTCCAAGGGAGAGCTTGGCTGGGAAATTGTGACCGATTTGGTGGATTTCAGCTTTTAGTGCGGTAGTGGCCCCCCTGCCCCGTGGCAGGTGCCTGCACCTGTGTTCCCGATGCAGCTTGCTGGAGCCTGGGCGAAAAATAAGAGCCTTGTCCTCCAAGTCTTAGGTCCTGTGCTCTGATCCCTGATTGCTGCTTTTGACCAGGGAGGTGCAGACACAGAGACCGGCAGCCATGGTGCATCCCCTACCAGATAAAGAAACTTCCAAAGGGTTTAAAAGAACAGCCTCAGTTGTTTTGTTGTTCTTCCCCTTTGGGGAGCCAAACATGTAAGGATTAGAATATTCAAAAGCAACTGCATGGATAACCTCTGTGAACTGAAGGTGGGCTCAGCCCAACAGAAGGATGCAGTCTGGCTGGCACCTGGATCGCAGCCTCGTGAGACTGAGAGCACAGGACTAGGCTGGGTTGTGCCGAGAGCCCTGATCTATGAAAACTGAGAGTGACTGAAAGCAACCTCTGTGCCCAGGGAGAGACGCGGGCTCAGGGGACACCTCAAACTTTTACCTCGGGCTGTTCAGAGATACTTCTAACAGGTGAAAAACAAACAGAAACTCTGGGGAGAATCTGATTTCCAGAGTTACATTATGAGAGTCAAATGTTCACTTTCCAGCAAAAAGTCACAAGAAATCGTCCCTGAGGAAGCACAGAGAGCGGCTAAAACCACCACCTGAGAGCTGCTCAGAGGTTCAGGAAGACCTGGACAGAGTCAGGAAACAACACACATAGTCCGATAACTGAGTGAAGATCCCTTGGAGGGTCAAAAGCAGATCGGAGCAGGCAGAGGAAACAGTGAACTTGAGGAGGAGACCACTGGAACTGCCGAGAAAAAAGAATGAAGACAAGTGATGAACAGAACCGAAGGACCCGGGACACGTCAGGCAAACACATGCACTGTGGGAATCCCAGGAGGAGGGGAGGGAGAGATGGGCAAAAACAGGATCTGAAGAAATGACTGAAAACAAATGTTGTAAAGACACGAATCTACAAATCCAGGAAGTTCAATAAACTTCAGGTGGAACAGCCTCACGGACATACCAAGACACATCATCATCCAGCTGTCAAAAGACTAAAAGAGATCCTTGAAAAGCAGCGCTGAAGACTTGGCACACACAAGGAATCCTCAATAAAATTATCAGCAAAGTTTTCATCAGAAACCTCGGAGGCCAGAAAGCAGTGGATGATTTACTCAAATTGATGAGAGAAAAAACCCGTTAATTCTATATTTAGCAAAACTGTTCTTTGAAAATAAGGGAGAAATAAGACATAAAAATTGAGGGAGTTCATTACCAATAGAACCACCTTGCAAAAAATGCTAGAGAAAAAAATGGACATAAATATTTAAGAAACATTCAGAGAGACCCACAGGAAAAACGGAAGGGTAAAAATAGACAGCTCTACAATAACAGTAGGAGACTTCAACACCCTGCCCTCAGTGGGTCAGTGAGGAAAAGAGGACTTGATAACGGACCGAGCAGATCCAACAGACACACACAACACTCCGCCCAATGGCAGCGTAACGCGCACGCCCTCAAGTGCACGCAAACATTCTCCAGGTGGGACGTGGTAGGCCATCAGACCAGTCTCGGTAAGTTTTAAAAGATTGAAACCAGAGTATTTTTCTTATCATAATGGAATGAAACTAGAAATCAATAGTGAAAGGAAAATTCATAAGTATGTGGAAATGAAGCAACACATCACAAGGGACATTGGAAACTATGTTGAGGTAAAGGACAATCAGTTACAGCTTATCAAAACTAAAAACAGGAGTAAGAAGGAAATTATGGCTGTAAATGCTTGCTTACATTAAAAAAGAAGAAAGGTCTCAAATCAATCTACTTTGTACCTTAAAGAACTAGATAAAGGAGAAAAAACTAAATCCCTAAGCTAGCAGTGGAAAGAAATAACAAGTAGTATAGCAGAAATAAGTAAAACAGAGAAAAACAACAGAGAAATCATTGAAGCCAGGAGTTGGTTCTTCAAAAAACAACTTAATGACAGACCTTTAGCTAATAAGAAAAATAAAAGAAAATCAGAAAAGAGGGGACAGTAATTGTAAATTTTACAGAAATAAAAAGGATTAGGAAAGCATAGTTGACCCTTGAACAATGAAGGGGTTGGGGGTGCTAACCCCTGTGTAGTTGAAAATCTGCATATAACTTTTGACTCCCCAAAGTCTTAACTAACTACTAAAAGCCTACTTTTGACCTGAACTTTACCGATAACACAATTAACACATATTTTGTATATGTATTATATACTGTAGTCCAATAAAGTAAGCTAGATAAAAGGAAATGTTATTAAGAAAATCATAAGGGCCCTGGCTGGTGTGGCTCAGCTGGTTGGGCACTGTCCTGTGCACCGAAAGGTTGCGGGTTGATTCCTGGTCGGGACACATGCCCTGGCTGCGGGCTCCATCCCGGGTAGGCGGTGTACAGGAGGCAGCTGATGGATGTTCCCCTCTCACATCAATGTTTCCTCTCTGTCTCAGAATCAATTAAAAATCTTAAAGAAATCATAAGGGAAACTCATTTACAGTACTGCACGGTGTCGATACTGTAAGTGTACACTGTTTACAGTAACATATTACTAACATTAGAAATCAAAAAGGAAAAGATAATGTGAAAACAAAATTCATATTTACTTACAGGTAACAAAGCAGCAGCAATATGACTGCTTCATCGTGGTCTAGTGTAATCAATACAATTGCTTCACAGTAGTTAAGGAACTCTCAAAAATGTTTCCAATAAAATACATGGTTTTTATTCAATAAATGGACCCATGCAGTTCAAACCCATTTTGTTCCAGGGTCAACTGTACTATCAATAATTGTGTGTCAGCAAATGGACAAATTTCTAGAAACATACAACTTACCAAGACTGAACCATGAAGGCATAGAAAATCTGAACAGACCTATAATGAGTAAGGAGATTGAATCAGTGATAAAAAACCTTCCAACAAAGTAAAGCCCAGGACCTTAACTAGTAAATTCTACTAATCCTTTAAAGAAGAACTAACACCAGCTCTTCTCAAACTCTTCCAAAAACTTGAAGAGGAAGAAATGCTTCCTAATTTATTTTATGAGGCCAAAGACACCACCAGAACACTACAGGTTAATATCCCTCAGGAATATTGATGCAAAATTTCCAACAACATATTAGCAAATTGAATCCAACAGCACAGCAGAAGCAGTATACATTATGACAAAGGAGAAATTATTCCTGGAATGCAAGGGTCACTCTACAAGAAATCAATCGATACAATATTCCAATAAACGAACAGAGGGAAAATCAAATAATCTCGATTGGTGCCGCAAAATCATTCGACAGAATCCAACACCTTTTCCTGATGAAAACACTCAACAAACTAAGAGCAGAAGGAAACCACCCCAACACAGATGACGTGCTGTGGAATTGTGCACCTGAAACCTGTATAATTTTGTTTACCAGTGTTACCCTAATACGTTCAATAAAAAGGAAAAAAAAGGTTTTGGGAATAGATCATGGTGATGGTTACACAACACTGTGAAATGTACTTAATGCCACTGGATTATATATTAACTTATGGTTAAATTGATAAACATTATGCAATGTATATTTTATCGTGATAAAATGTATTAAAAATAACCCAAACCAACAAACGTGACCAGTGTGTGAAAGAAGCCACACAGGTCAGGAGCGCTCTCGACCCCAGTGCTTCACTGACGGCCGAGCTTCCAGGTTCTCCTCTTTCCTCAGAGGGCTCTTCCCAGCACTTCCGACCACTGACTTCCTTCCTCGTGGGACTCAAAAAATTGAAATCTCATTTCCACAGCAAAACAACAGATGCTGAACATGTAAAGTCGCGAGTTTATTGCATATGTAACAAAATGAACCTGACCTCCCGGGTCCAGCCTGCTGTACAGTTGCTGTTTGTTGTGTGTTTCCAGCTGGTTCCATAACCACATTAAATAGAACTAGTATTTCTTTAAATACTTTTGATTTTGACATAAAACAGAACATTAGTTACAACTTTCACAAAATAAATCAGCAATAAAAACAGTGGGAAGAACAACAAGGATAGCAGCAATACTTAAGAACAAGACATTACAAAATAAATTAAAAATACATTATAAAGTGGTTGAGAAACAAAAATAAACAAATTTTAAAAATTCATACTATGTTTGGGGATGGCTGCCGTGCGGCATGCACCTGGCTGCCATGGGGTGGGGCGGGCACTTTCTGTGCACAAGGCCCCTCCCTGACAGCTCAGATCTGAGGACCACCTAACCTGAATTTGGACCCAGGGGCCCCAACTCCATTGGGCAGGCGGATTCTCCCTTCAGAAGTCGAGAGAGTTCGGGTCACTGTCCCCACACGCAGCCCCTTAGCTTTCCCCGCCTGCAGAGCGGTGGTCTGCTACATCCCTGAGGGTCGGCTGCTGACCGCTGGTGAGGGCAGGCCTGGAAGTGGGCCCGAAGCATCGGGCCAGAGGCCGGGGTTGGGTGCCGTCTGGGAGCCCGAGAAGGGTACGAAGGAGAACGCCCGTGTGGATGGGGTTCCACAGACCTAGAGTGTAGCCACTGGGAGCTTTTACCAACTGCTTGCTACACTATTCTTTGGGGTGGTTCAAAAGGCCCAAACAATTGTCAATAGTTAAGGTCCTAGAAGTGCAACGCCACGGACAGATAGGCCTGTTTGGCAAGAGTAAACTGAAGCTCTGGAAAGTTCTCTTTCAGGCTCCCTGGTAACACTCACAGCTGATGAGGGTGCTCATGGGCAAGTGTAAGTGAAAAAGCAGAGCCCCAGGCCTTATAGACAGGTAACGTGGGTGTCCCAAGCAGCTCCCAGAGGAGCCAGGACACGACCCTCTGGATCTTGCTGAGGCGACACCTGACACGCGAGAACAGCGAGGGGCCGGCAGGTACAGATTCGGAGGATCGTTCCCTGGTTCCTTCTAACGGCAGGAAGGTAGGTAGTTCTAAAGGAGTCCGATGCCACAGTCCTGCTTGCAAGTCTTTTCAACCACTAGACCCTCGTTTCCTTTCTAAGTACTGCAGATCTGGCCACTGCCACAGAATCGATTCGGGGTGGGGGGCTTCCTACCTCAGTCTCGAGGGCCTTGCACTTCTGACGGATGTCCTCTCCTCCTGTGGTGTAGGCTCATGTGGAAGAGGAGACCTATCTAGTGGGAGATCTGTAGCTTTCATTTCCTCTTTCTTCCAGAAGAAGACCGCGAGGACTGGATAAGCCATTGGGGGGCTTCTAGGATGCCCTCAGAAGGCCTCGTGGTGAATGAGACACAGGAGAAGCCCCACCAGGACAAATCGGACTCCTCAAGACAAAGCCCACAGTTTGGTTGGGACTTTGTGACTGGACTCAGTTTTCCTTCGGCCGCAAATCACACTTGACATCCCTTCTGTCTGAGCCCCAGTGAGCAGCCCAGAGGCTTGGCTCTCATTGCTCTTGGAATCCACAGCTGGCAGTCTTACCTACGACCTGCACAAGCCTCTGTGCAGGGGAAGGTCCTTCTCCTAAGAGGTCTGAGCACCCCCATGTCAAACTACAGGCTGCCTCTGGGGCAAGCCAAGGAACCAGAGCAAGACGCAGCAGTCAGTATCCTCCACACCCCAGTTTACAGCCATCAGTAACAACAACAGCGAAACAGCTGACCAAACGCTCCTTCCAAACCCACCTCAGACCCACAGCTGGATCCCAGCGGCTAACTCAGAAGCTTCAACAGCGAAATTTCAATAGTGAAGTGTCTCGCTAATGAATGACCCTCCCTGCACTTGCCCCTAAACAAAAACAACAACAGAAAAACCAGATGGGAAAACCTGTTGCTGCCGCTGATTCTCACTGAAGTTCACTCTCTGGAATCAAGCCACTTGTTAAATAAAATACTGTTCGAACTTCTGTGCAAATTGGAAAACAGTGTTAGAAACTTAGGGTCTCAGCGTGCTTTGGTCTTGCTCATCATATGAAGACATCAGGGCAAGTAAATCAAGTAGCAATTGTCACCGTCACCATCTGACATGGGAAATGGGCTGAATAATGGTCAGGGTGGGTTGTCCCTCTCTGCTGTCAGGTTTACACCCACACCCTGCTTTTCGTAAAATAGCAACTTGGGGTCGACTCCAGTCATCGAGGTTATCTATTCCCAATTTCCCTTTTAAGCTAGTTTGCTGTAATAACAGAATTTTTATTAGTTTAGCTGTTAGCAATTTCCACATAATTGTTAGTATCCAAGTGACCCAGCTGACACTCCTTTGCAAACAGGTGGTACAGGAGCCACAGCTTGGGAGCTCCATTATGTGGTGGTCTCACTGAAAAATATTTCAAACTGGGGTAGATAGTGTGGCCAAAGGGAATCTTAAAAGGGAAGATCATTTTCCTCTATGCAAAACAAAATTTACAACCAGGATACCCTGAAAAGAAATAGCCTGGGCCTCCAGCTAAAGCTGCCCCATTCCTTTACCTTTCAAAAGGGAAGCATGTTTTGGACTCAAGCTTTCTGCTGTGGCAGGGTCCCAGTAAGCATGTATTATACAGTAACTTTTCAGGTAGAAATTAATCTGCACCCAGAGCAGACCACTAGGATGTGAAATTTGGAATTTGAGCTGCTGAACCGGAAAAGGGGCCTGAAGACTGTCTTGAGACAGAATAGCTAGTGCAGCTACCAGTTACAGACCCACAGGAAGCTAAGCTCAGTTCCAGGGCTGCAGGCCGATCCTCCCGTAAGACCACAGGGCAGTGCGCCTGATGCCAAGTGTGTTACAACCATAGCAGAATATCCTGTGTGACCGAAGCCAAATCTAAACCTGGCTGCACTTTATTGGATGGGTGATGGAAGGGGGTGGGGGTACTGTCGTAAAGGAGGAAAAGATGGGTGGGAGCCACCAACCAAAGTCCCCCCGCCCCCTTGCTCCCCGACACAAAAGAGGGAGACACCCTCTCCCTCAGGTCATCTAGAATCCCCGCGCTCAGCCCGCTTCGCAGGAGGCACGCGGAAAGCGACAGGCTTTTGGTCTGGTGGTCGTGAGCTAGAATCTGTTGCCTTTGGTTGCTCTTCACTCCACAGCAAACCCACAGGTCTCCTCCACTGCTATCAGCAGCTTCTCGTAGAGCTTTTCATAAGACTCGTAAGGTGGAATGTCGATCCGGTTAAAGCTGGAATGGGACAAGAGTGAGAGTCACTGCTGGGGCAGTCTGGCCCTCGGACCTGCTTCAGGACAAGGACAGGCAAGAGCAGAGCATTCTTGGCCACACGCTAGCTGTGAGTGCACATACATGTGTGTGTGTGTGTGTGTGCATGTGCGTGCATGCCGGCAGGGTACAGGGTGACAAGGAGGAAGTCTCTGTTCCCTAGTTCTGGGGGGTGGAGGAGGGAGAGGTGAGTGGACACTTCACCTTTGTATTTTTCTGCTTCTAATGCAAAGATTTTAAAATCAACACAGAGCAAAATAAATCTTAAGAACTTTAAAACCAAAGTTAAACCAAATTACTATTTACTGGGGATATCAGGACAAAGCTCTCGACTTGTTTGGTTTGCTATTTGTCTTTGGGAGAAATGACACAGTACCAGGAACACCATCCTTGCAGACAGCATAACCCAGACTGGCCGGCAGTCAAATCAATCACCGCTAACCATCTGCTGCCTGTCTGTCTGTTCCTCTGTGACTTGATCTGAGACCCAAATGGGGCAGTCTAGAAAATTCCCTGCAAAACTAATAATATGTGAAATCTCTGACAGATAAAATGAATCTTAAATTTCTGACTCAGTATTTCCACGGGGAAGTTAATTTCCAGTGTTTGTGGAAAAAAAAAAAAAAAAAAAGCAGCTAGTATCTCAACAAGATAAACCTGTGACCCAGAGGACACAGAGTGGCCTGTTGAATTACTAAAGGGATAAGCAACTAAGGATGGTTTTTGTCAAGAGTCGGCGAAATGGTGTTACAGCCTTTTTTCAGGAGCTTTAGCATCAGAGATTTTTCATACTCGCTTTACTCCACGCACTAAAGTGTTAAAGGCCAAAGCCTCCCGAGGAGAAGAGCAGAGGAGGAGAGTAGCCGTGGCCGCCCGGGGCAGGGCTCTGCATCCTCACGGTCCTGGGACAGCTTTACAGCCTTTTCACACATGTGGAAGCCCCACTCAGCATGTCAAGTAACCTGCTCAGTCACACAGGGGATGTCAGCCAGCATTGGAACCCATACCCTCGGGTCTCAGTCAGGAACCTTCTGGTACATAACGAGGCATTGACAATATGTGGGGCTGGTTCTCTTGACCTAGAGGTGACTGTTCTTTTGATGTTTAAACCACAAAGGAAATAACCCACCACAAATATTTAGGTTGAGGTTCTATTTTTCAATAGGCAAGGTGCATCTGTCACGGGCAAAGCTCTGAGGGGGTAAACGGGGCCCCAGGAATGTCAGAACAAGGGAGACCTGTAACTCCAACTTAGAGACTACAGCTTTCCCTACGGACACTAACATGCATAAACACATATGCAGCAAGACCCAGGGGAATGCAGATGGGAGCCTGTCGGAGCAGAAGCCCACATAAATCACATCTCATGACAAAACTGGTTTCACAGAAGAGACTTCTGATGACTCTCATATGTGACACACTGCCACATGCTTGTCCCATTAGACACAGGTGGCACTGCCTGCTGTACCTGGGACTCGGCACAAAGTGCTGAGTGCTACCAATAAGAAACAGGTTAGAAAGTCGTGCGGAACACTGTGGGAACGGTGACAGCACAGCACTGTCCTTACCAGGTGTGGGCCTTCGGAAGGTTGTCTGTGTTTGCATCGATCAGGTGGATGGTGAACAGCCGGGGGCCTGCGGCGCCTGTAGAACCTTACAAGACAACATTCTAGTTACTGCACTTCAGAGCTGAGCCTGGACCCCACTGCTGACCGCATGTCAGCCCCATGCCCAGGCGGTTGTCCTGCCAGAGGGTCATGGAATTCCCATGGCAGCTGCCTGGCCATCAAGTGACTAAGATCAGACATTTAGAAAACCACAGGCATGGAGCAAAGATTGGTGAGCACCCCCTTGTGCCCAGTGGTGGTATTTGAAGGTAAGATCTTCTATCACCAGGTTGGTTTTTTTTAACAGAAATGTTTAGCAAGCAGGCCCACTGCTGGCAGAGGATAGCAGTGGTGCAAGGAAAGCAGGATATGCAATTGTGATACCTCTCCAGGCAGAGGTATGACGGAGACAGAAAAGACCGCCTAGGAACCAAAGCCCAGGGGAATGGAAGTAACTTCTCTCACTCAGAAATCCCTAAAATAAGGAAAAGTCTACAGAGAATTTTATACATGAACTATATCTGCTGTCACTATTAATATGCAAAGTTCAATTTACTAAATTTTAATATATTCTTTACCTTTTCCTGGCTATCAGGGTTATCAAGCGACAAAAATCTAAAGTTTTACAAATCACAGGGCCAGGGAGAAGCCTGTGAGGACTTCCCCAGTTGGTTGTGGCTGACCATGAGCCCCTCCAGACTCCTCATGAGGCACAAACTCCCCAGTGTCCAAAGCCTTCCAACTCCCCTTGCCCACGGCCACTCCAAACTGGGTGAACCAGGGACTCAAGAGAGCACGAGCACCTAACTGGACAGTGGAGCCTGTCTGGGCAGCAGACCCACCTGTATAGGTCAGGAAACAGGACCAGGAGGGACCCTGGAGCTCAGGACCCACATGGTAGCAATACACTCGGCTGCTGGTAACTAGGCCAGGCCCCTCTCCCCTGTATCTCGAATCCGTAGTACACTGTAAAACTCTGACTTCTTTCCCCCAAACCCGTTGATCTTTGTACCTTCCCTTTGTCAATCAATTCTGTAGGGGAAGGGGAAGCATCAGGTGCCTCTGGGTCCTTCCTTGCTCAGGTCATTCCCAACTCAGCCTTGGTGGGCACTGCTACTGCACAGATCTGGGCCCACCTAGGCGACGTCCCACTGGCTTGCAGATACCAGGAAAGTGGGGTTGAGGGGAAGCTGGGCTCTGTTTTGCTGATAGCCTCTCCTAGTCTTCACAGATATTTTCTGTCAGTTTGGGAACAGACAGCAGAGCCTTGAGGACTGGGTGCTGGCAGGGTAATGGCAACCAAGAGACCATCACCGCTCATGGTCTCCATGGCCACTGGAGTGAGTGCCCCTCCACCCGCCAGGGGAGCGCCACCACCAGTGCCGACATGTGCTTTGAAAACATGTTGTCACGTCGTTTTCTAGTCCACTGTTCAGGAAGCCAACCCCGCCACACCTGGTCTTCCTACACACCCAGGCAGCACACAGTGCCAATAGCCCCTCCTCCACGTCAGTCACCTTGTAATGCCTTGAAGCCTTGGAGCGGGACACGCGTGGACCCCGTCACAAACTGTAGGAGCCTAGCCCGCCTCTCCTCATCAAAGGTCTCCACCGCCTGCCAGAACCACCTGACGATGTTGCTGTCGGCCACACAGTGCTTCAGCCGAGTGTTAGACTTCCAGTCGTTCAGGTCTATTTTGTCCAGGCCGCCTATTATCAGCTGTGAAGGGGTTAGAGGTGGTTATTTCTAAAATGTGTGACCAGTGTCATGCCGCCTCCCACGTTCCCAGTACAGTATTTAAAAACATGGTTCCCAGAGCAAAGCAGCAGCTATGTCCACATAAACTAGACACACACTTAGACGAGAATAAAGATGAACCAACAGGATGCCCAACTGGTTTCCAACCCCTGGGACCACGGTGCGCGGCTACAGGTGGGCGTTTTCTGACAGCCGGCTGTGTGGTTCCGCCCTGCACCGGTGAGTGAGCAAGAGCCTTCTGCAAGATGGCACGGGGCTGAGTGGAAAGTGGGGCCGTGTCACCGTGGTCTGCAGGACAGTGGTTGTGGAAACAAGGGTTGTGTGTAGTTTCTGCAACTTGCTTGCAAAGCCCCCTCGGGAGAGCTACTGAATCTCGCTGGTGGCAGAGACTGAGAATAATTTTAAAGGTTTGAGCTATTTGCCCCCAAACAGAGATGGTTAAGAGATGAATGCCTTGCTGTGTTCGAGTACATGAAGTATGATTAGAGAAGACAGTAACTGTGTTCTGAGTCTAATAATAGCAGAATAAAAACAGAAAGTTGATGTTGTGGTAGAAGTTGGCAGCAACCGAGACAATCTCCTCGATCTGAGGTGTCTGCTCAGGAGGGGGTTAGGACTCTCCGCAGCTACAGGTCCTGAAAATAGGATGAGTCACAAAACACCGTGAACAAGGCCTCCAGAACTGTCCAGATTCACTGCCACCAAGGAGACACCTGGCCTTGTCACAGCTGGCTCAAACATCCTCCACCCCCTCTCGCTCTAGCCCTGTGCTCCCCTGGGAGCCCCGACAAGCTCCCGGCCCGCTAGGAATCAGTGCAAAGCCTCACCCTGCAGCCGGGGTGTAAATCAAAACCACTGACCCAGCAAGCAGAAACATACCTCTAGTTCCTTCTGGTCAAAAGGCTTCAGTAAGTGCTGAGGAATGAGCTCATTAAACCCTTTCTGAAGTGCTAAGAACTGGGCTTCGATTCCTCTCATAAATCTCCAATTTACATATAACCTGGAAGAAAGATTCAGAAGTTGTAAGCAATACCAATGGTTCTCCATGATTTGGTTCTGACATCTGTTGAGTTCAATGCCTTGCCCACCTGCCTCCCCGAAACCCACCAGATGGAAGCACCTAACCTAAGCTACAGCTTAAAATAAAGCGCACATATAATTATGACCTATTGCTAGAAATAACAGTAGGATTTAACCTGACCTATTCCAGCAATTTATTTTTTATTCCTGACCTATTGCCACAACTTAAAATATGTTTGAAAATAAAGGATGCTGTGAGAACTACACACCAGTCTGACAGCCTGAGCAAAGAGATGTCCATGTTTCTATTTTTATTTTTATTTTTTTTAATTATCACTTCAAGACATTTTTTCCATTGATTTTTAGAGAGTGGGAGGGAGGGAGGCGGGGGGGCGGGAGAGAGAAACATTGACGGGAGACAGACATCGACTTGATTGCCTTTCACACCCACCCCAAGTGGGGCTGGGGATCAAACCTGCAACCCAGGTGTGTGCTCTTGACTGGGAATTGAACTTGCAACCCTCCGGTATGTGGGCCGATGCTCTAACCACTGAGGAACACCAGCTACAGTGAGATGCTTATTTCTAAACTGCCACTGTAGGTGACTTGTCACTGACCTGCCTTAAGAGGTGGGAGAACAGACTACAATGGAGAAGACTGATCTCAAGGACAGCTAGGCTTCCTCCTCTCTCCTGCACTCTGGCACCTCCACACACAGACCTGGTGATCGCCTGAAAGGCC